AGACTTCAGCGGTGTGGGTCCTGAAGCCAAGGGAGTCCTTTCCTCTGTACCTTCATTTTTATCGTATTTATTTTTCTTTGATTACACACCGACTTCAAAGAAGCCGAGTGCTTCTTCAATTTGGGCGCCATATTGTTACGGAACTGCTTGTTTCTCAGTGGGCCGCGCCGGCTGGCTCATCGGATTCTCTGGGTGTGGTCCCATCCCTGGCCCGCAGTCCGCACAATCGATAACAACAAAACTACACGTCTGTAGCAAAACAGACTCACACAACACTACTCAAAATGAACCGCATAATCGATAACAAATATTCGGAACTACTAACTCATGAACAAAATACACAGCTGTAACAATTATGAAAATGTAAACAACAAAGGTAAGACACTCAATATAAATTAACAAAAAAACACTATTTATCCACCTTACTCTTCCAGATCGGGCCCCGGTTCCGGACCCAGCGTACCCGCCCTACCATGAGACGATCACCTCCACTCGTCTCCCTCATTTTGGCCACCAAATGGCCTATATTAGCCCGTGTCGGCCATAATGCCCACTCTCCCCAGCAATATTATTTTAGCCGGACATGATTTCTTTCAATAGGTGCGTATAATTGGTTGCGTTTTCTTAAAATGTATAACAATCATAATCATTGCTTATGGCATTTATCTTGCAGCTGTTTAGGATCTCATGCAAGCGGATAATTCATTAACTTCGCAGGTGCGTATTACTGTTGCATATATTTATACTAATTGACAAAGCGCATTAATTCCTAAATTTTTCTCTTATCTTATAGAATTAATTTTTTTTTTTTTTTTTTTTTTTTTTTTTACAACACTGAATGGGACAGGCGACGAAACACTACAAGGATATTGCGAGTCGCCGCAAAAGAAACGCGCAATGAGGCACTTTAGAGGCAATCGTTGCGCCGATTTAGGAACAATGGCCCACACAATTACTTAAAACTGGGTATGTCACGTATTGTGTAATGTATGTATTAAATCGCTTAATTCTACCTTACCCTACCTAAAGAGCTCTCTGGGGGTGGTAAGGGGCGATATAAATGCGTAAATTCAAATTGGGTAAGTATGTGAGCATAGTTCGCGCAAGTGTTAATTTTAGATTTTTATATTTTACAGGCGCAGATGCATCACCTTTGGAGTTTTCCCCCACCGTTCGCACTCTAAAGTGAAGCTCGGCGTAAGTGCCTATGTATGTATAAATACATTTTATAAATACAAATTTACTAAATTTAACGATAAAAAAAAAATCTACTCCTTTTCAGGGAGTGCAATTAGGAGTCTTCTTCTGACTCTGCCAGGGGCTCGAACGAGGATGGGCAAAGATATGGAACGGACTCACTCGGTGGATGTGGGCGGGGTCTCGCCTGTGGCCGCTTCTTTGTTGTTGGAGCCCGGTCGTTGGTGGCTCGTCTCGTCGCCTTCAGGTTTGCGCCGACGCTTGCTGGCGGCGTCGCGGATATGGCTGGTTGGCGCCGCTGCACTGGATCCTGGCCTTCGAATGGTTCGTGGGCCTCTCTGGTGCGCGAGCTGGTCTCCTTGGTGCCGGAGCCGTTAATTTTTGGCTTATTTGGGTCCTCTCTCGTCGCACTTAAGTTTTTAAGTCTCTTTTAATTTTTTTTTTATATTTTTTTTGTGACTCGAGTGGTTTGACTTATATATTTTTATTAAATGGCAAAAAAAAGAACACAAAAACAAGACTTTTATTCGTCCGTTAAGCCACTGGTATTATGTGCCGGCTTAATTTTTCAGAAGGGAAAAAAATTTTACTCTGTCGAGCAGAAGTGCAATGTCCAACTTTTTTGCTCACTTCGAGCTGGCACGCCCGCCGTTAACCGCTGAACAAATCGAACTCCTCGACATTTTGGGCAGCCACACCATCGGTGCCGAATTTCGGCACACGCATACATTTGCGAGGCGGGCACCGTTGCTGCTCATCTGCACAGCTGCATTTTTTTGGGTCAACGGCCCAAATGGAGGCCAAGGGCATATCCAAGGGCATGCGATCCACTCTCCTCATATTCTCTTTAAGAGCGAACCGGGCGACCAATAGCAATCGTCGCTTTTGGCGCCGTGGATCGCATGTCTGGCGTTGCCACCCTTCAAAATTTTGGGCTCCGCCGTGGGCCCAGCTTCACCCCGCATACTCCGACCATATGACAAAAAGATATCGGCGTGGCCGATAATATCGAACGCAACCAACTGAGTAACCCTCGGTGCTACCGATAACGTCAAATGCAACAATGCTAACAGCTGCGGCTGCTAAAATGGAGGATTCCCTTACTTAACATGACTGCCTGTGATTAGTTGCATTATTATTTGTTGTTAAAATATTTAATTAATAGTTTTTCATACACAAACATTTGATTGAAGCACGAGCAAACTTTTGCATATTAATTAACAGCTGCTGTCGTTCCTGTTGGCGAACAGTGCTGTTTATAAGAACTGCCAACGTGCTGCAAATAGAATGCAATGCTCTGAAAGTTATGTTAAGCAGCAGCACAGATATTGTTTTGTTAACAGCGATAACAATAATTGTAAACAGAGTGCGCAATGACTGTAATTTAAATGTGGCAAAAACAAAACCAAATTATTATATCATGTAGTTAGATGCCTAAGCTTGAGAGCAGTATGCCATTTAAAAAAGAATTGTGATAGCTTTTCAAATTTTTGTTTGGCGGCAAGTCGAGTAGGCTGCATTAACATTCTTTATCGGACTATCGGGGCCGTAGTTTATTGTAATTTCGATATATTTTGTAATTTCATCAACACTTTTCGACTTCGACTTGCCATGAACAACCAAACCACCAACAACACAAAACGCTGGGCGCTGCTCGCCGCCAGCTTGGGCCTGGTCTATGTGCTCGTGCGGCAGAGGCAATCCATATGGAAAATCCTCTGTCGCAGTCCCCTCCAGCTGCAGCACAAACGTATCGAGGTTATCACCTCGGTGAACGAGTCGCAACGTATTCTAAACGAGCTGAAGAGGTGAGTGGGCACGGGCTTAAACGGATTTTAGCACCTGGTAAACACAACAATTTTCAGCCACTGTGAGTCATTCAAGGTTCTGGGCTTTGACTGCGAATGGATCACTGTGGGCGGCACACGCAGGCCGGTGGCCCTGCTCCAGCTCAGCTCGTACAAGGGTCTCTGTGCGCTCTTTCGTCTGTGCTGCATGAAGCAAATACCCAAGGATTTGCGTGAGCTACTCGAGGATGATTCCGTTATCAAGGTGGGCGTCGCACCGCAAGATGATGCCATGAAGCTTTCGCATGATTTTGGCGTCGGCGTCGCCAGCACCCTTGATTTGCGCTACATGGCCATCATGTCCGGGCATCCGGCAGAGGGTCTGGGTAAGCTATCACAGACACATCTGAACTATGTGCTGGACAAGAACTGGCGGCTAGCCTGCTCCAACTGGGAGGCGCCACAGCTGGAGGCTGCTCAGCTTAACTATGCGGCCAATGATGCCCTCGCCGCTGTGGCCATATTTCAAAAGCTATCCAGAGATTTGGAGCCGCGTACATTTTGGGATTGGCGTCCGCCCAAATTCGAGCAGCTGCGTCCAAAAATAGAGCCATTTCTGGACGTGGACTTTACGAAAGGCTTTGCCGCCGGTCTGAGCAAACCACAGACAGAAACAGACAGTCCCAGCAGCCCGCTAACAGGCAAAGCCAAGCACAAGAGGAACAAGAAGCCACAACAGCAACAGCAGCAAGTCCGCAGTTTGGGCACCCTGTCGAAAGCCTTCTATGACAATTGCGTGCTGGAGGCTCCCGATGGCGAACTGCTCTGCACCATTGATCGCCGCAAGGCCTCCTGGTACTTAAATCAGAAGCTAGGCACACAGATCAGCGAGAAGCCCTTTACGGTGCGCCTGAATTTTGAACCGGCGGGTCGCGCGGTCGGAGATGTGGGTCGCTACTATCAGACGCCCAAGGAGAACCAGTGTGTGGTCTGCGGGCGGCGCGATGCCTATTTACGGAAAAATGTGGTGCCACGCGAATATCGCAAACATTTTCCCGTTGTCATGAAATCGCACACATCCCACGACATACTCCTGCTCTGTCCCAGCTGCCATCAGCTGAGCAATATATCGGATAACAAAATACGAAACAAGCTGGCGGCCACATGCGAGGCGCCCTTCGGCCATGGCGAGGGCGTCTCCAAGTACCATGATGATCAGCAGCTTAGGTGAGTTGTCTTGGTTAATTCATTTGCATCGAACTAGGCTCGAATAGCTCGAGTCTGCAACTCAGTTCGATCCGCAGCTCAGCTTCCTAAAGCATATAAACTAACTGCTTGTGATCCTCTCCAGAAACGTCAAGTCCGCTGGCAAGGCTCTGCTGTCGCAGAGCGATCGCATGCCCATCCAAAAAGTCGCACAGCTGCAGAAGACCATTTTGGACTACTACACAGACACCACCGAAATAACGGCGGAGCTGCTGCAAAAAGCCGCCGACTTAGAGTGCCGTGTGGCCAACGAGTCATACTGCCAGCATGGCAAGAAGGTGGTGCATATGTATCGGGATAAATTTGGTGGCCTCGTGGAGCTGGAACGTTTGTGGCGGGAGCACTTTCTGCATACAATGCAGCCAAAATTTTTGCCCGAGCTATGGAATGTCAATCACAATGCAGATCGCTTAGAGGTGCGCGCCAGCGAGGGTCGCATCGACAATGAAGATTTGGTTGTGGCAGGTCTGGAATCGGCAACTAGTATAAATAATGTAGCTAGATCCTAGCAGTGCGATAGTTTTCAAGTTTTTATCTCTGTTAAACACGTAGTGCATTACAATAAATACGAATTGGCATTTGCTGCGTATCAAATACAAAGATCACAAAATGTTAAAATAATTTCCTTTCGCTGGCAAACCGACTCCACAATACTCTGTTTACCACTCCCTAGAGTATATATACTTTAGAGCAGTATCTGTTGCTATGAGATAATTTAAGATATTTTAATGAAAGATACTGCATAGATACTTATTTGTATTGCAGGCATGTAACCTGACCAAAACTTTTATTTATCATCATTGCGAGTTTTATACCGTTCTTTACCTACAAAAAGCTCTTATATCAACAGATGACTACTATATCATGTAAAATATATATGAACAATCAGCCTGAAATCATTTTGTGTAAGAACTATATTTATGTTTATAAAATTAATCTTTTTTCTAGTTGAAAAATAAGAACATAATTTTAAAGGAAATTGTCAATCATGTACCTGTCAAATTTGATAACACTATCTAAACACACTACAGTAAAAACTGCCTTGGGCGGACATCGTCGAGCCTAATTTATAAATTGTACGTATATACAAAATATGGTTTGAGAAGAAATATACGGCCAGGGGAGTTTACGTTGGCAGAGTTTTCCCTGTACGTGTATTTACTAAATTTCGAGCCTGCCTTTGATAGATAAATAAGCAATTTTAATATATATAAGAGATATTTTCAATTGGACAGACAAAGCGCCAACCAATATACCCTATTTGGTCACATGGTAAACAGAGTATGTTAAACAGCTTAAGTATGAATGTCATTGGTCTATGAGCATCTTTTAACAGACATAAATTAAGCGTACTATATTTAAAGCTGACTATAGATAAACTTGACTATATATATATATATGTATATATAAATATATGTATCAGAAAATACACTATATACACTGAATACCACAGCAGCGACGCTTTGCTAAATAAACTCGAAGCCCTCGTATTTGTAGTCCGTCTCGATGCGCGTCTCGGGCAGCAGGGTTTTGCCCTTCACGCTGAAGGCTGTCACAAATGTGGACGTTTTTCCATTAAGCTCCTCCGTTTTGAGCGCGACAATAATGGAGTCCTCTGTATTGGGCAGAAATTTAAAACTAGAGAAACCGTGCGTGGGCGCCGTATTGGCGGTATCCAATTTAAGCGTGTCTATACTGGTAAAGTGCTCATCCGCAGAGATTAGTATGTTGCAGCCCATGTGCTCATCCAAGGTCTCGTTATATCTGTGAAGAGCAATTGAATCAAAGATAAAAAAACGATTTGAGAAGCGCCCACTCACTTCTCCTTGGAACAGCGACGTGGCAGAAAGTACCAGCGCTGATGCACCGGCGACCAGACGCCGCTCTCGTGTATCATATAGCCGGGCCAGCTGATCTGCAGCGATTGCAGTCGCAGCTGCTTGTAGTTCTCCGCCCAGTTGAGGGAGCGCACCTCGCCGGTTGTGCTTATGGCCTTTACGTACATGGGATTATTATTCTGATATTCACCCATGCCCGTTGTCCACTCCTTGCCCATGGAGCCGACATAGAGCGTGTGCTGCTTCACGGTTGCCCACTCCGATTTGAAGCCCTTGGTGCTGTGGCCATCGCCATCGAGCAGTATTAGCCAGGGTATGACCTTGTCATTGGCCAGCTCATAGATGAGCCCGGTGCGATCATCGAAGCTGAGCAGCTTGCCATTGAATGTGACCAGCTCGGAGAGCTCCATGCCGCGATCCTTTAGCGCAAACGAGGACTCCAGCGCCGTCGGCGCACCGTCGTCCCAGCTTATTTGTATCTCCTGCTTTTTGGCCAGATACGTAAGATAGCCCTTCTTGAGATAACTACGCCACGTTGTGCTGCCATCGACTTTGACAATCTTCGAGCTGGTATCTAGATCTGCTATCATGGCGATGCGATAGCTGATAACGCCGCCCTGCACGCTCAGCGGCGGCGTCAGTGGATATGTTGTATTGTAGGGCGGGGCTAGGGAGGCGGCATTCTCTTGGCTGGCATAACGGCTGCGCAGCCAATAGCCGTCCGAGGAGCTGCGACTGCCCTGGCGCGCATACAGAAAGAGCAGCGCGAGGATAAAAGCACAGAACACAAGCAATGCGAAATGATAATTAAAGCGAACTGTGCGATTGCCAATTCGATAGGTTGGCGTACGCAGGGCGGTACGCCAGTCGCGCATATGCATGGTGCGCGGTGAGTTTTCCAGATCCCTGAATCCGTACGTCGTGCTTTGCATTTAGAACTTTGAATTTTGGCAGCGTGGCAGCGAATTGACTGTGGATGCGGCCAGCTTAAATTATGTGATGTGTCCGTTTTGGCTCTGTTGTTTAGATTCCACGATTGACGACATATCGATAACTGCCAACAATAAAAACAGCTGACTGGCCAATGACTATCTACGATAGTTCGATAGCAAGTTCTATCGAACTAGGTTGACTACTCACTGCTCGAATCGGTTCTTTTTGATTTCTTATTGTTTGATAGGCGCCAGCAATTAAAAATGGCACACATTTTGGTTTAAAATGTTAAATGTTATCCTTCTATTAAGATTTCTCCAGTGATAACATTTCGATACCTGCCAACAGCACAAAACAGCTGACTCGCAATGAGAACTGTAATAGTTCCATCGTTGAATAGTTCGATTACGAAAAGATATAAAGATTTTAAAGATATCGATCTTAAATCGATTTACTTGTTTTGAAGAGCTAAAATTTGAATCTTCAACATAAAAATTTTGTAAGCTATTAAAAACTCTACTTAAATTTAATTAACATTTAGTAACTTGGCAGATTTTCGCTAATATTTTTTAAGCATAACTTAAAGATTTTTATAGATAGAAGCTCGGTTTATTATACGTTTTTGATGAAATGAAAAAAAAACTCCAGAGAAAAAAGCTATTATGACTGCATGTTACGACGATTTGGTGCTTAGCACAGGTTAACCCTAATCACGCTCACTTAGAGCATTGCCCCTATAGTAAAAAAAAAAACAGCTTAACTTGATAGCTCCAGTTTTGTGTATTTATATCAGGCATAACAAAGTGAAAAGTGCAACACCTATTAATTTGTGTATGCTAAAAATAAATTATTCTATTGTCTGACGGTCATATATAAGAGATCAGCTTAAGTTGAGATGTTTAAAATATTTTTGCGAGCTTTAGAGAACAGTCATGAATTCAATTTTGGTTATATTTTGCTTAGTTTTGCTGGCAACTTATTATCTGTGGTCGCGTCGTGACTTTTATAAGTTTTTTACGAAATTTCCAGGTCCTCTAGGGTATCCCCTAATCGGAATAGCGCACAAGATGCGGCATAAGGAAGGTAAATTGAACTTTCGACAAGGCTTGGTTGCATTTAAATATGCTATATTTTATATAATAGATTTGCTTAGCCTGTTTGGTTCTTATATCAAGGATTATGGCACTACTTTGGTCACTTGGCTGGGTCCATTGCCATTGCTAATTGTCAGCGATCCTCAAATGACGCAGGATATACTAAATTCTCCGCATTGTGTGAACAAAAGTTTAATGTATAAGATATTCGACGATGCTGGGGGCAAGGGCTTATTAAGCTTGGAAGGTGGGCAGTTAAGATAATTGTTCTATTTATAAGGCAAACAAATTTCCTCTTCTAGATCCGGTTTGGACTGAACATAGAAAAATGTTAAATCCCGCATTTGGTCACAAGGTTTTGCTTAGTTTTTTTCCCATTTTCAATGACGAGACGGCAATATTATTAAAAGAGTTTGATAAAATGGCCGATGGCAGGGAGAGTGATATACTGCCTTGTCTACAGCATTTTACATTAAGCATAGCTACGCGTAAGTGGAACTTTTTTTAGCTAAAAAACTTTAAAAAGTTTCTTGATATAAGCAGAAACCACAATGGGTACTTGTGTTAAGGAAGAACCAAGCTTTAAGAACAGTTCCCTTATGGCACATGTTGAATGGTGAGTAGAGTACAAATGAAAGAGCATTCACAAGCATTTACATTTAGGCTCCAGGAATGCGTGGCAGATTTTGCCTTATCCCCATGGTTCAATTTTCGAATAATACGTCAACTTCTGGGCAGAGAGGAGCATTATTTCAGGTCAAAAACACAAATAAAATCGTTTATCAGAAAGGTAAATGGAACACACCAAACCTCAGTATAAACGAATAATATATATTTTCCTGCAGCTGGTGGATAAGAAGCTCTCTCGGGACATTCAGGACAAGACAACAGGCAACAAGAATTTTTTTCTCAATTTGGCAGTTGAACATCTCAAACGCGGCAGCTTTGACAGAGAGAATGTTGAAAATGAGTCCATTGTAATGGTACTTGGCGCCTTTGAGACATCTTCCAAAACGCTGGCTAATACGATCATACTGCTGGCCATGTTTCCCGAGTACCAGGAAAAGGCATTTGAGGAAATCCTTGCGTTGTTTCCCAATGCGGGCGATTTTTCAGTTAGTTACGAGGATACCCAACAAATGGTTTATATGGATCTTGTTTTGCGGGAGTGCATGCGCCTCATAGCGCCTGTTCCGGTTGTGGCACGGCAAGCATCGAAGGATGTACGGCTATCAAATGGCGTTTGTATGCCCAAGGGCACGCAAATTCTGATTGACATATTTCACATGCACCGCAGCAAGGATATATGGGGACCAGAGGCGGATTCGTTTAATCCGGACCACTTTCTGCCACACAACTTTCAGGAAAAGCATCCGTATGCTTATATACCTTTCACGAAGGGTTTGCGCAACTGCATAGGTGCGTGGTGTATGTTAAACGAATTATTAATCCATATTTTTAATCATATATTTCAAAATTCAGGCTGGCGCTATGGCATTTTATCTATGAAAGTGACGTTGGCCAAATTAGTGAGAAATTATAAATTTAGCACAAGTTTTAATTATAAAAATCTACAATTTATAGATAATATAACCATTAAGCTGGCAACTACACCGCTCTTGAAGCTAGAACGTAGAATTTAATAAAGAGTCATGAATAAACATAATTATATGCAATTTAAATTTGCCGGTTCGAAATTACTTATCGAAAATTCTAATGTGAACTTATCGGCAACCCGCCTCAGCATATGTCCTCTTCTGTATCGGTATTTACACAGTGAGTATCGATGCTGCTAACCAAGGTACTCAAAAACGCCGGTCTTTAGCAAAAGAACAGTTAGCTTTTATTAAGTAAGTGACGCGCGATAAATATGCGCCATGTGGAGGCGCTTTATAAATACTATACAACCTATTCCCACAGGGTACATATATAACTGCAGGAAGTGTACCATGTCGGAACCAAGTGCCAGAAATAGCCAAGAAGCTATTGCACGCTTGCGGGAATTTGGATATGCATTCAATGAAGGTGTGTTTGCAAAGCTTAACAGTTATCTGGTTTTACATACTCACTTTATACGTATACATGTGTGTGTGTGTGTGCGTACAGCTGGACAACTGCGCAAAATAGACAAAATCAGTGGGGAACCCGGCGAGGAGCCCTACGAGTTTAAGATAAGCGACAATCAGGCTAAGAATCAGGAGCACTACGAGCAGCTGGCCAATCAGATACCAGAAATCATATACGAACTGCTGGAAAAGAACGGATTAAAAAGGACGTACATACCCAAAGGCGTGCCCATTGAGCATTCCACATTCGTTTTCTCACAGCCGCAGCCGCTGTCCCAGTCTAAGAAGCTGCTTGTGCTCATCCATGGCAGTGGTTATGTGCTAGCCGGGCAATGGGCAAGGAGGTATATGTATATGTATATGTATCTAAAGTTATCGATATATGCTAAAATATTCTGTCTGTCATACGACTGATCAACTGATTCAATCATTGATTGACTGAGAGGGACATAAAAGCTTAAAAACGGACAAAGTGTGTGGCCAGACTGGATGACGAATTGATTTACTGACTTATAGACTGATTGACTGACTTATAGACTAATTTACTGACTGATTGATTGACTTACTGATGGATTCATTAATTGACCGCGACTGACGAGAGCTAGATGACGAGTTTTGTTCAGTAACTACTGGCTGCATGGCCAGCTGACTAACAAAGATGGAAATAAAGATCTTAAAACGGATAAAATAGTTATATAGTTTGTTTGACAATTTGATTGACTGACTGACCAACTGATGGAACCCTTGACTTCCCGAAACTTGCGTAAAAGCTCATTATGATTTTTTTTGAGGCTTAAAATTGATCAAGCACGTGATTCACAGATTTCAAAAGTTTCATACCACAGATGAAAAATGAAGGAAAAATCAATTTTAAATATAATGAAAATCATTTTGTCACGCAAAGTCGGGTAATTCTTGCTAGTATACATACATTATATGTATGTAAACGCATTCTGAATGCTTATTACGATTTGTTGTGGGATGAGCTAATGCTGCAGGCGATAAATCTGTTAGGAATATTAAAAAAATTAATGATAAACAATAACTAAGCTCAAAACATATAAGAAATACCCTTTTCCTAAGTATCTAAATACTCTATGAGTGTATTTGATACAACAAATTTAAATTGCGAATTTAAATTCATTCAATTCAATATAAAACAATTTCCATCATTACTTTTAGATTGATTATCAACAATTCCCTGGATCACGGCACGCAGCTGCCTTATATACAGCGAGCCCAGAAACTGGGCTATGATATACTCGTCACCAATACGAATGACACCACTCGCATGATAAAGGGCAAGCGTACGCCGATCAAAGGTTTGGAAAATTCCATGACTCATGCCGCTTACGTATGGGAACATATTATTATGCCCTCCCAGCCCGAAAGTGTGGCTATTGTGGCACATAGTTTTGGTGGGGCTGTGAGCAGGGCTTTGGTATGTCCAGCAATAATCCAATCATATTTATTTATAAAAACCCTACTCATTGCAGACGGAGAAGTATACAAAATTCTTCAAGGAAAAAGTATATGCCATTGCTCTTACCGATGGCACAGTGGGTCATCCGCCGGCCGGCTGTCAAAAATACTTTCTTGATGTCACCTGCAATTGGGTGTCAAGCAACGAGCCGCTCGATACGGATTTAACACAAGGCGATGCTGCCGAGAATATCACTTGTGTATCTGCTGGACATCCGGAGCACGAATGGACCTCCTATTCAGCCATCGAGTCTGTCTTTAAGTTCTTGGAGAAAAAGTTCGAGCAGCATATGAAGGCCAAGCAGGTCGTCTAGTAGCAACTTGTTACTCATTTCATCATATTTTGAAATTCTGTGCATCATATGATCTTCTCTTCCATGTGACACTTATCCCTTTACTCTAAGGACCCACACAAACTATTCATTTACAATGCATAAATCAAATAGCCCTGCACCATC